TTTTCGCCTACACACTGACCCCTACTGGTCATTCGGTGTACTACCGGCTTCTCAGACATTATTGCATTTCATGTAAAAAATCAACCAACCACTGCATTTTTCACCTACACACTGACCCCTATCGGTCATTCGGTGTACTACAGGCATCTTAGAAGTTTTTTGCATTATCATGTACAAACCAATAAACCACCTCATTTTAACCTACACACTGACCCCTACCGGTTTTTGGTGTACTACAGGCTTCTTAGACATTATCGCATTTCATGTACAAATAAACGAATCACTGCATTTGCGCCTACACACTGACCCCTACTGGTCATTTGGTGTACTACAGGCTTTTCAGACATTATTGCATTTCATGTACAAATCAACGAATCACTGCATTTGCGCCTACACACTGACCCCTACTGGTCATTTAGTGTACTACTCATCCATAAGGTCATGATATTTCTGGGGAACTCACTTGGTTGGCCACTTATCACATTTCACTTTCATGTACCAGACGGGGGTATACATCCCTGCCGACAACTGTCTCATTTATATTCCAGGCATGTTCATCATATGCTTCCTACAGCCGCCCATACAGTCACGGCCACTCTTTTGTTCCAGAGACAAAATCATGGATTAGACATACTCATGCAGCATAGCATGCACTATCCCACCTAGCACTTTCGTCCCATACTTGTAGAACACATAACACAGCTTTTCACCTGGCTTAAAGAATCTCATTGGCACACGACATAGCTCAACATGTGTCATAACATTTCTCCTAGGTTTTGCTTCATTTTTGCCACCTTAAACTAAAACCATCTCACACACCATTAATTATATATTTTACAGGCATTCAACAACACAGGATAACCTATGGCCAAAACTACCATAACTTCATGCTATCATAGCAGACAAGAATATACTCAGAGGTTTTCAGGAATCCATTCCCCCACGTTCCTCTCAGAGATTACCAATAGCTATCCAACTTTTCATCATTATCGGACCTATTAGATCTACAACCATTCAATTATACTACCAAGTCGGCCATTACCAGCTATGCACATTGCCTTTTATGCCTTTCCCAGGCCAGAGAATCCACTACCATCACCACCACTCAGACAGATCATTGTCTTCAACGATCCCACGTACGTAAACACATATATCATTACCTATTGGCTCTACCACATTCTGAAACGAGTCAACACGCACCAACAGTAGAGATAACATACTATCCTACCCACAACAAATGGTGTCCACTTTCGTTCCTAGAGTCCTACCTTCAAAATCCTTTCAGGAATTAAATACTGTAATGCTTTTAAGGAAATGTCTGGTTAATTTGTATATATTTGTTGACTGTATTAAATCTTTGATTATTCATTTTTGCCCTCTTTATTTACAGGCCTACCGTATCGTCGGTCTCGGCACACCACAACCGACTTACTCCCTTTATACTATCCTACGCTTATGCTGGATCCTTACTCCATATACGGCTATTTGCCCCTTACACAAGTATTAAGGCCGTTTGGCCTGTATTTGTGGGAGGGGCTTAAATTAATTCACTCCCCTATATAAGGGACACCCCTTACCTGACTCATATCGCTTGAGGTCAGCATCAGAATGACCCTCCCACCCACTCCTCATTTCAACACTTTCTCTTTTCTTTCCATTTACTTTACATTCTTACTCCTTGGTGGGCCCTCTTTATTTACAGGCCTACCGTATCGTCGGTATCGGCACACCACAACCGACTTGCTCCCTTTATACTATCCTACGCTTATGCTGGATCCTTACTCCATATACAGCTATTTGCCCCTTACACAAATATATATATATATATATATATATATATATATGTGTGTGTGTGTGTGTGTGTGTGTGTGTGTGTATATATATATAGTATGTATACTTCTTTGTGTTACTGGGGTTCAGTGTACCTATACTGAGTGCTTTATTATCTTCATAGCGTTGGATTTTCTCATATATATATATATATATATATAGGCATACAATCACAAACACAGTCACATACATACATAGGCACACAGTCACGTACATACATAGACGCACAATTGCAGGTTCAGGGATTCATACATGCATAGGCACACAATCACAAACGCAGTCACATACATGCATAGACACAATCACAAACTCGGTCACATTCATACATAGGCACACAATCACAAATATGGTCACATTCATACATAGGCACACAATTACAAACACGGTCACATACATACATAGGCACACAATTACAAACATGGTCACATACACAGGCTCACAGACACATACATACATAGGCACACAATTGCAGGTTCAGGGTCACACACATACACAGACAGATAGACAGGTACATGGGTGGGTAATGGAAATGGGATTTAGGTGAGGGTATATGACAGGGTTGGTAGATAGGTGTTGTTACACCAGTAGAATAATGCTGATGTAACAGCATCTATACTCAGCAGCTTTTTACCCAGCAATAGACTGGGTGAGCTAATCAAGGCTGTATTTCAATGCAGCTACTCACTCTCTTACCTTGTAGCTGCCTCTCTTTCCATGCAGTGCCTCTTCTCTCCGGCTCTCCAGTGCCCGGTCATATGGGACCCTCTGTCTCTGGCTGCCCACTGCTGGGCTCTGGTGGTCTGGAGGTGAATAGCAGGGAGTGCACTATATCTCTTTGTGCAGATCATGATTTCTCCCTTGCGGTTCCGGCGCTCAATTGAGTCAGAGCGCAGGCTGGGAATACCTGAGGCTGCACTCTGACTCTCTAATTGAGCACCTTAATCGAGAGGGAGATGTCATTAGGAGCTGACTGCACCTCTTGCTTGCTCCCACCACTGGACCAACAGGGAATATTCTTTCTTTTAATATGATGTTCTTAGCTTGCAAGCTGTGTCGGCTGCCAGGGCGCCCCTGTTGTTATGGTGCCCAGTGCGATCGCACAGCTTGCACACCTCAAAGGCCGGCTCTGCCTATCGATACCTTGGTTTCTTAATGTTATGGAACCTATATACCCTTGGCAACATTATCCCAGCAACACAGGATGATTAAAAGAATGCTAAAGTGCTAACATCCTATGTGTTCCCTGAAAATGCAAACTCACAGAACCCATAATCAAATCCATATAGAATGGCAGCAAAGAGCAGTATATACTCTACATTTCACTTAGATGGGAGAGGGATTTACATAGTGCCATCACGTTTTTCATAATGAATATCGATACAATCGATGGAGTATAGATCATGAAAACATATAGGATAGTCTTAGTTAAAAGTTGTCTTAAGTTAAAATGGCTATATGTTGACACCATGCTCACTGTGCCTAGAGGGATATAAGTTACATCACTGGTGAAGCGAAGAAAGGCCAAAATTACCATTCTTGTTTGCTGCATAGCTAATGCAAAGGAAACCAGACAATATTTCAGATGGAGCTGAATTTGTGGGTGGGATCAGTTTGAGATGAGACAGTTAATGGTTCTTTCTGTAATGGTAAATGTGGGCAAAATGTTTTTGAGAACTAAGGATATAAGTACTGCATAGGCATATTTTGTCATTGTCAAGTTTACTTACTGACCTCACTGACCACAAAGACTTTTATTTTACTTTCTGTGACTTGTGTGAGGTCTTAGAGACACATTGTTGAAAAACATGGCTCTCTAAGATGTCCAAGAGTAAAAAACACAAATTTTACCATTTTATTGAGACTCGTCCTCTTTTGTGTTTCTATTGAATGTTTGACACAGCACTGCATAATTAGTTATTACAAAATCTAGACTCACCACTGGTATAGTTAGTGCTTCTGATACATGGAACATAATAACATGCTAAAATACTGAGCTACCTTCACAGCTTACCTTAATTATTTTTATTTTATTACTAGGTAGTGGATCTCCTACAGAGTAAGCAGCAGGATTTTTAATACTTATACCACTAGTAGGCTTATGTTTGAGCGTGGCTTAGCCAGCGACAGAAATAGCGTCCTTCTAAGGGAGGCCCTGTGACACTAAGCAATTAAATGTGTTAATTTACCTTAATATCTAATTTTAACAAGAAACAATTGTACTAAATAAACTACTGATCCAGTGAGGAGATAGAAAGAGAGAAACATTTTTGAAAAAAAAAAAGAATAGAACATGATGCAGAAAGCTAAATGGATGAATCCAGGAACGACTCATAGTAAGTCACTAATGACGTCTTAAAGCATCTTAAGATCACCCTGCATTAACTAAAGTTAACCCTGCATTAACTGAAGAAAAATTCACATCATCTTTAAATAGGAAAACTATTAATCCCCATAAAAAAAAGGGAAAAAAAATATGATGTTTCTATTAATAAACTATCCTCCCACAGAGATTTGATAGTTGGTGATGAGCTTGCATGATTTGAACGCACTAACATAACATAAATTAAAGGACCACTATAGTGCCAGGAAAACATACTCGTTTTCCTGGCACTATAGTGCCCTGAGGGTGCCCCCACCCTCAGGGACCCCCTCCCGCCCGGCTCTGGAAGGGGAAAGGGGTAAAAACTTACCTTTTTCCAGCGCTGGGCGGAGAGCTCTCCTCCTCCTCTCCGCCTCCGTTACGCCCCGCCGGCTGAATGCGCACGCGCGGCAAGAGCTGCGCGCGCATTCAGCCGGTCTCATAGGAAAGCATTTACAATGCTTTCCTATGGACGCTGGCGTGCTCTCACTGTGATTTTCACAGTGAGAAGCACGCAAGCGCCTCTAGTAGCTGTCAATGAGACAGCCACTAGAGGATTAGGGGGAAGGCTTAACCCATTCATAATTATAGCAGTTTCTCTGAAACTGCTATAATTATGAAAAAATGGGTTAACCCTAGAAGGACCTGGCACCCAGACCACTTCATTAAGCTGAAGTGGTCTGGGTGCCTAGAGTGGTCCTTTAACATGAAAACTAGTTAACAAGTTAAATCCTATGATGAACATACGGAAATGATCAATCTAGCAAAAGAAGCTTTTTCGGGAAATGAATATAAAAAAATGCAAACAAACATGAAGCTACTACTTCACATTATAATTCTAATAGTAACAATTAAAGGAACATACTACAAGAAAGTTCCGAGCACATTACTGTCTGAAGTTATGGATATCCTTGAGCAGAAATCTTCATCTATTGATTGGGACATAACTGATCTGGATAAAAATATTCAACACTCACCTGAAGCCAATCTAAGCAAGAAACTGAAAATTATTGCAGAACACAGAACAACATTGGATCTACCGGGATTTAAATCTTCATTACCATACAATAAACTGCAAGGTCCTCCAACATTGCCTGCTCTAATCTGGGAAATGTTATTAGACAAGACCTCAGAGAAGATCTATGACAAGACCGGACTTCCATAAAAAATAAAGTAACCATATTAGAGTCTAAACCCGAGCAAATTGAATCAACACTTCTTCAACATGAAGATATTCATGATGATTTAGTTGAAAACATGAGAGCATTAGAAATGCACTTTAAGTCAGAAAACCAAAAACTAATTGCTAAAGTAGCAGATTTAGAAGACCGCAATCAAAGGAACAATATCAGAATAAGAGGTAGACCTAATAACATGATACAACCTAATGAATTAGAAGACTATATGAAGGCAATCATGAAATCGATTAAACCTTCATTTACAGACACGGAATTACAAATAGATCATATTATAGGCTACCATCTCGGCTCCTAAAGATACTCCAAAGGGTATTATCACTATAATTCACTTCTTTAAAACCGAAGAGGAATTTTGTTGGGCACTAATGTTTTATTATGAATATCAATTATCTTCAACTTTCTCTTTTTGACTTAAACCATAATTTCTGACTCTTTCTTCCCACCCCCACCCCCACATTATGGGCCTCTATATATTATTAAAGAGGGAATCTTGTGTTTTTTTTCTCACTCTCTGGCCATTTTTTTCTTTTGTAAATATATCTGTCTTTTTATATTTTTTGTTCTTTTATTGTTTTTCTTTTTTTTTGTTCAATATTTCAAGTTCTTTTTCCCTTTTCCTCTTTTTGTCCATATACTTAAGTTTAACACATTATATTAACCGTAGTTATTTATTAAGTTCAATTGTCATTATTGATAATATTAATTTACATATACATGGTACAGTGTGGTTTTCAGTCAGGTGGGACATAGTGTCTGTATGCATTTTGCTTGGCTTTCACCGCTTCCTTATGTTATGTGGCGTGCTTCTGATCCCTCAGAATGTTTTATTTTATTTTTATTTTTGCTCTTTTTAGACAATAAGAATGATTTTAAAGTGTTTTTCTCTTAATATGAGGGGTTTGAATGCGCCGCACAAGAGACGGTTGCTATTTAAAGAGACCGAGGAAACATACGCCCAAAGTTATATTTATTTAAGAATCCCATTTTAAATGGAATATTTCCCCTGAATGTTTTGGTGAAGGATTATCTAACCCAGTTTCATTCTACATTTTGCATTAAGGCTTGGGGTGTCTCAATTTTGAAGCATGTCACACTAATGTAGCATGCCGCACTACTGACATTTTGATTGATCGGCAGGGTAGTTATGTGATTTTGAAAGGCCTATTAAATAGTGTGGAGTACACACTGGCAAATTTGTATTTTCCTAATTTTGACCAACTTCAGTTTTTGAATACAATTATTAACAAAGTGTCCAAAAATGTCAAAGGCAGACTGTTTATAGGTGATGACACTAATTTTGTTTTAGATCAAAATATTGATATAGTTAGAGAATCTGATTGTGCCGTTAAAAATTGTTGTAGTTCTAAATTTCTCTTTTCACAAGGCCTGTTTGACTGTTGGTGCATTTTACAGGAAGGAGAGAGAGACTATACCTTCTACTCACCTATTCACAATATGTATTCTTGGATTGACAGATTCTTGGCAAGCGAAAGTGTTATTCCTTTTGTTATACGTTCGGATACTCTGGATGTTAACTGGTCTGATCATGCCCCCATAATGTTATATCTAGAAGAGTCCATTCGGTCAAACCCAGACAGGCAATGGAGATTAGGTGATTATTTAGTCACTGATCTTGAAAATAAATCCCTTGCCGAAACAGCGCTTTCTAATTATTTCAGGGAAAATTTGGATACAAAACTTGAAATTACTTCTTTTATGGAATGCTCATAAAGCTGTTATAAGAGGTCACGTTATTCAGTAAGCTTCTTTTTTAAAGAAAATTAGATTGAAAATCTTAAAGACCTAGAAACTAAATTGTACAATTTAAACTTGGTGAAAAAATGTGATCCTTCTTCATCCCTTGCTGAAGAGATACTTGATGTTAAAAAGAAAATCAATACACGTCAGATGAATTACCTGATGCTAAAGAGACTTAAGCAGACTTTTTATGCAAAAGGGATTCAAGCTTGTTCATTATTAGCATCAAAGTTACGGCATAGACTCTCCCAGTCCAGAACTGAATGCTTGATAAATGATGAGGGTATAAAAATTACACATTCTAGATAAATTAGTGACATGTTTGCAAAATATTATTAAAAAAAACTCTGTAATTTGGTTTCTTTTATTTTTAATTTTTTTTTATTTTTGCGGTGCAAAAGGGTTTGACATACATGCATGTGGTACCCCAAAGGCATTCCACTTGCACATTCAGATAAACAATTATAACAGTAGGCTGTATGTTAGGACTTGCACACATTTTTTAAAGTAACAGTTACTGTTGCAGGCATTGATTTCATGAAAGAACAGGTTATGGGATCTCGGCAGTTCGCGGCAGTCCTGCTAGGCTAAACATTCAATATCCATATGGCAGCGTCAGTTACACTTGGGTTCATGGCTTAATTTGCCTAGTATATGCCGAGATATAGCAAAAGTAGTGTCAAGGATAGTTATAGGTTGTAGGCAGGTATGACCAGTGCATGGGCTAGTCTGTTAATGACATGTATTATGCAGGTATCTAGCGCTAACTATTCCAGCAAGATCAGGCGGTTAGACCGTTGCTTAGAAGATTAAAATATAAACATATAAACATCAAAGATATTCCGGTATGTAGCGCTTCCTTGTCTGAACAATATAATGGATACTTACAAGCTTATCTGACTTGACTCAGGTGTATGAGAGTGTGTTCCTCCATTAGTGAACTAGACATAGTGACAGGCATATGTACGTGTCGCTGCACTATCTAGGCTCAGGAAGATATTTGCAGGAAGCAAAATATAACTCTTTATACCAAGAAACATGGTACCTGCAATGCAGGGTATAAAGCAAGCATTATAGTAAGCTCAGTGTCCACAAGTGTGTCCAGCCGCTCAGTGAGTCCTGCAGTCTCCCTGTTATGGCATGTAGGGGCTAGCATTATGACAGTGTCCCGTTGAAGCGAGTTCACAAGGCCCCCATCAGGGTCTCTTTCACCCGATGCTTCTTTGCATGAGCGGTGTGTGTCCGGCCCTGGGTTTCTACATCCCGCCGCTGCGCGGGTGTCGGTGAGGGTGTCCCTTCAGCCCCAGGCTGGCTTGCAGGCCTGCATCTTCTTGCCACAAACTCGGCTACCGCTGGGGCCTGGGTTTCCTCCACGTGTGGGAGTGACGGAGGAGCTGGTCTTTCTCTGTCGCTTGTTCCTCCGCCAGTGTGGACAATGCTTTTGGGCTCTCTGCCCTTTGGCCTGCAGCCTGGGTGGGCTAGATTGCATGTGGTGAGTGGCTGAGGTAATGTTGTGCCCAAGGGCATTCCCTCCTCTCCCTGTCATTCGCGGTTCCGCTCACCCATCGTCGGTGGTGCAGGTGTTATGGGTCGGGCTGCTTGGTGCCGCTTCATGAGTGTTACCCAGAAGTGGTTCAATATCGCCTCTAGGCTCCATAGAGGGGCATTTTGTGGCGTTGGTGCCAGTTTCATGTTCGCCATGTAAGTCGCGTTGCTGGCTGCCATTTTAGATACTCTCTGTGAGGGCCTGCAGCCTTGCATGTCAGGGTCAGGCTTGTGTTGTTGCCATGGCTGGTTGCTATAGGAGTCGAGTGTGGACCTGGGATAACCCCCACCGGTCCGGGGGGGGGGGAGGAGGCGAGTGCACAGAGGGGTTTGTACTTGGCTTTACCATCCAGGAGAGCAGCTGTCTCTCCCTGGCTCGGTCACAGGTAGGCCCCATGTGCTTTGTTCGGGTTCCTGGGCAGTGTAAGGCTCGCTTGTAGGTTCATTAGATGCCCCCTGGTTTCCCTGACTCGTCGTGTGCCTTCCGGCTTGGGTTCATGTCTGTTTTCGGGGTATTTACCCCCAATTTTGTCGCTTTGTGCAGGAGCTGATTCACAGCATGTCTGACCTGCTCGGCAGTTAGACTCTGCCCCTATAATTTGGTTTCTGATCCCAATATTATACAACCCATATTTGAAAAAAATTGCACTTTTCTGGATAATGTTCCTCTGAGACAAATTTCTAAAGACAAATTAGAATAATTAAATTATCCTATATCCCCAAGGGAAATCATAGATATTATTAGTATGATTCCTACAGGCAAGGCCCCGGGTCCTGACGGATTTACCATGTCTTATCAGAGATCTTTTTCTGACATTTTAATCCCATATTTAATGAATTATTTAGTCACTATTGGAAGACAGGTGAATTGCCTGAAGAGAATTTGAATGCTCAAATAATTACTTTACCTAAGACTGGCAAAGCACCAATTGCATGCTCAGATTTTTGTCCTATATCATTGATAATCAATGACACAAAAATATTCTCAAATATTTTAGCAAGCACATTATCTTAAATTTTGCTTTCATTGGTTAGCAATGATCAAGTGGTATTTAATATGAGGCGTTGGGCACCTGAGAGCACATGCCAATTCATACATTTGATACATCAAATTCAAGTGGATTGCACGCCCTCTCTGCTTCTTTCTTTAGATATGGAAAGGGCATTTGATAGGATTCATTGGGATTACCTTAGGGAGGTACTGTCGCATTTAAATTTGCCTGATCCTTTCATCAGAGCTGTGTTTGCATACGCCTAGAGTTTTGGTGGGTGGATTCATGTCTAAAGCATTTGAATTGTCTAACGGCACGAGACAGGAATGCCCATTGTAGCCACTTTTATTTGTGTTGGCAAAGGAATCTCTGGCAGAAGTGATACGCCAATCGGTTAACATTGAGGGAATTTCTGTAGAGGATAAAGAACATAAAATTGGTTTATTTGCAGACAACATCATACTTTCTTTAAAAAACCTGTTGAACTAATTATCTCCATTGATGTCTATTCTGCAAGAATTTGGCAATATCTCTTATTACAAATTAAATACAACAAAAACTCAAGCTCTTCAGTTTTTTTATACCATGGTTCGATTTGGATACCATGAAGAGAATGTATGATTTTGACTGGAGTGACTCCTATATTTCTTATCTGGGCATCAATATGTGCA